CAACTGGGGCCGAAGCCAGGAGCCAGAAACTGAGTCCAGGTCTCCCATGTGAGTAACAGGAATAATACAACTACTTAAGCCATCATCACTGCCTTCCAGGATCTGCACCAGCAGGAAGCTGGAGTCGGGGACTGGAGACTGAACCCAGGCAGCTGGGATATGAGATGCAGGCATCCTAGCAGCTAAGCCAAATTCCAGTCCCACCTTATATTTTTTCATCTTGTTTATGAGCCCACAGCCAACATTTATTTTATTTTATTTTTTTTGACAGGCAGAGTGGACAGTGAGAGAGAGACAGAGAGAAAGGTCTACCTTTATTTTGGTTCATCCTCCAATGGCCAGTGCACTGCGCTGATCCGAAGCCAGGAGCCAGGTGCTTCTCCTGGTCTCCCATGTGGGTGCAGGGCCCAAGGACTTGGGCCATCCTCCACTGCACTCCCGGGCCATAGCAGAGTGCTGTTTTAAAATGTGGAATCCGACTATTCAATTTAAGAACAAATATATGGGGAGTTCCAGTGTTGTGGCACAGCAGTTCAAGCTGTTGCTTATGATGCCAGCATTCCACATGGGAGTGCCAGTTTGACTCCCAGCTGCTCTACTTCCAATCCAGCTTCTTGCTAACATGCCTGGGAAAGCAGCAGCAGATTGGCCCAGGTGCTTGGGCCCCTGCCACCATGTTGGAGACCCAGATGGAGCTCCTAGCTAGTTGTTTTGGCCTGGCCCAGACCTGACTTTTATAGCCATTTGAAGAACGAACCAGCAGATGGAAGCCCCTGGTTGCTCTCTGTCTCTCCCTCTTTCTCTGCATTTCAAATACATAAATACTTTCAAAAAAAGAATATGGGTTAGAAAAATACGCTTTTGCAGTTGTTTGCTTTCAAAATACTGATAAGAGCCCCAAATGATTAAAAGTGGGTATCTGGGCAAGGTTTGAGCGAGAGCCCAGAAGTGGGAGCACAGTGGATTAAGCCACTGCTCGGAATGCCCACATCCCATATCTGAGTGCCGGTCTGAGCTGCAGCTCCTCCACCTCCAATCCAGCTTTCTGCCAATGCACCGTGGCAGGCTGCAGGCAATGGCTCAAGTGCTTGGGCCCCTTTCACGCATGCAAGAGACCTGGATGGAGCTCTAAGCCCCAGGCTTCAGCCTGGCCCACTTCTAACTGTTCTGGGCATTTGGGGAATGAACAGCAATCAAAGATTGATCTCTTTTTCTGTCTTTCTCTTTCTAGAAGAAAAAAGAAGGAAGGAAAAAAGAAAGAAGAAAGGCCCAGGAGTAGACAAGGATATCTGGCAGTGAGTCTTATGGAGTTGAGACTATTCTCTTAGGATGGGCACTGTGGCATGGTAGGCTGAGCCTCTGTCTGAGTGGCTGGCATCCCATATGGGCACTGGTTTGAGTCCTGGCTGCTCCTCTTTTGATCCAGCTCTCTGCTTATGGCCTCAGAAAGCAGAAGATGGCCCAAATGCTTGGGCCCCTGCACTCATGTGGGAGACCCGGAAGAAGCTCCTGGCTTCAGATCAGCCCACATCCAGCTGTAGTGGCCATCTGGGGAGTGAACCAGAAGATGGAAAATATTTCTCTCTCTCTCTCTCTCTTTCCCCCTTCCCTCTCTCTGTAAACTCTTTCAAATAAATAAATAAATCTTTAAAAAAAAGAATAGTCTAGATTTTTAAATTTCAAAGATCTCCAGGGATATGCACACACAAAAACTGATCTAAAAATGGAAGATGCACCTGACAACTCAAACCCAGACATCTCAAATCTTGAAATTCGCTTGACTAAAAGGAACAAGTACTGTTTCATTCCAGAATTTTCTTGCCTTAGCTGCATCATTTCTCTCCAAATTTTAAAGCCCAAGAAACTAGAAACTGTACACATTCACACAGAGAACAGTTACAATAGTTACAGAAACAATATTCAACAGATAAAAATTAGCTCAGCAAATAGCGGTTTTTCTACTTACTAGTTGAACTCTATTTAGTTGGTTGTTTAGATTGTGATTATACAGTAAATTGAAAGTATGTCATTGTGAAAAAAGAAAAATAAGAAAAAAAGGAAGAGGGAGGGTGGGAATCAGTGGGAAAGGGAGGGGAGGGTGGGAAGTTTCATTATGCTTTTTTTTTTTTAAAGATTTATTTTATTTAGTTGAAAGACAGAGTTACAGAGAAAGGTAGAGACAGAGAGAGAGAGAGGTCTTCCATCCGCTGAGTCACTCCCCAGATGGGCCCAACAACTGGAGCATTGCCGATCCGAAGCCAGGAGCCAGGAGCTTCTTCTGGGTCTCCCCTGTGGGTGCAGGGGCCCAAGGACTTGGGCCATCTTCTATTTCTTTCCGAGGCCATAGCAGAGAGCCGGATCAGAAGTGGAGCAGCCAGTCTCAAACCGGTGCCCATACGGGATGCTGGTGCCTCAGGCTAGGGCTTTAACCCGCTACACCACAGTGCCAGCCCCTCATCATACTCTTAAAACTATACATGAAACCTGTTCCCTTTATATAAATGTAAAACTTTTTAAAATAAATATTTTTAAAAAATGATCTCAGCTATGTAGCCTGCTTCCTTACCACTCAGAAGGAAAAGCCACAGCCAGAGGTTAAACACACACAGTGTGGGAACAACACTCTCATGCTGAGACACCACCCCCGGAGAGGGTTAGTTCCTGGAGAGGGAGGGAAAGGAAACTTAGGGGACACGGGAGGGAACCTGGAAGCTCTAAGGGCCAGCCTCCTTCCTCAGTGTTAACACTCAGAAGTGACAAAACAATCAGCTGGATTCAGATCACAATTCTAACCTAAATGCATTCCCAAATTCATCAAATCACTGTGTTCAGGAGACAGAACATGTGTCTCCTGGATAAATTTCACTGAGCACACATCTATGCTGTGAATGTGGGGCCAGCACTGTGGCACAGTGGGTTAAACAGTGACACTGGCATGCCATACGGGTGCTTGGTTGAGTCCCAGCTGCCTCACTTCCGATCCAGTTCCCTCTAATGTGCCTGGGAAAGCAGTGAAAGATCACCCAAGTACTTGGCCCCCCTGCCACCCACATGGGAGACCCAGATGGAATCCCAGGCTCTTGGCTTCATCCTGGCCCAGCCCTGGCTATTGCTGAGATTTGGGGAGTGAATCAGTGCATGGAAGATCTCTTTCTGTCATTCCCTCTCCGTAACTCTACCTTTCAAATAAATTAATTAAAAATAAAGTAGATGTAAAACTCAAACTGTAATATCTAGAGTAGGCCTTGAGAAACCACAATTGTATTATCAGAAAGGGCGTCACCTCTCAACTCCCCAGTATGCATGTGGATCCCCCACTTTCCAGGGCTCTGGAGCTTCTGCTATAGGGAGTGTGAGCAGGCAGCAGGCCTGCTGGTGAGGCTCCCAGGAGAAAGCATCTGAGCCTTCAGTAAATCTCCTTTCTAAGCAGGCTCAGGGTGGCGGTGGCCTCAGCTGGTGTCCCTGGCCTCAAGTCTCTGCTCCCCAGGCAAGCAGTCTGGACCACCACTAATTACACGGGACAAACCTAATTTTTGAAGAACTCAGCAAAATCACTCAAATCCAGTGCTTGGGTGTAAAAGAGGGAACAAAATTTGAAGACACTCTAACTTCACAAGAAAAGCCACAACCAACCTTCTTCCACTGAGAAAACACACTTGCCATTAATGATTCCCATGGCAGGAAATCCTTTGGTGAAAAACTAATCATATCTGAATAGCTCCCGGTGTTATAAGCCTGTGCCTTGAAATTACCTAAAAGAAAATAACTACACACACTCAGAGGAAGAAAAAAAGAGAAACAAGAATTTTTAACAAATGCAATGGAAGACTGGAATATTCCATTTTTTTCCCCTTAAACTCACGTCTTCCTTTGGAAATATTTTACATCCTTACTCAAGGTCTCTTGTTACATACAGGTTAAAGCTGCCTGTTAGGGTACCAGCAGCCCACATGGGAGTGTTGGTTTGAGTTCTAGCTGCTCCACTTCCAATCCAACTCCCTGCTCATGTTCCCCGAAAGGCAGCAGATTTTGGCCCAAGTGCTTGGGCCCCCACCAAGTCACGTGGGAGACCGGGATGGAGTTCTGGGCTCCTGGTTTCTGCCCCAGCTGTGTGGCCATTTGGGGAAAAGAACCAGCAGATGGAAGATCTCTCTCTATCTCTCCGTCTCTCCACTACTCTGTCTGTCAAGTAATTTTTTTCTTCTTAAAAAAAATCAGCGCCTAAATGATTTCAAGGTGATAAGCTTAAGAGGTGGCCCGTGCTGACCCGTAACGTGCAGAAAGGACAGAACATTCAGGAAAGGTTCCAAAGAGGGCCCTCCATCCATGGGAATTTTCTAGGGTATCTGGGTCCAGGGGAGACACAAGCATAGCTCCAAGTAAACTTATCCTCTGCTTTCCTCTCATAAAAATATCGACAAACTTGTTAAATCTGTTAAATAAAAAGAATCATTCATTCACTTATTGTAACTAAAATCCTGCGTCTGGTTGCGACGCAGCATCCAGGACAAAGAACTGATTAAAGGACGCTGTGAACCCGAGACGGGAAGTTGGCGTTCGGGAATGTGGGAAGGAATTCTAGGAAGAGTTGTGGAATTGAGACCCTGACTTCCGGGCATCTGGAAAACTCAGGGGGACGCGGGGGGAGGGACGGGGCCCGGGGACCGCCCCGCCCCGCCGCGCGCGAACCCCGCACACCCAGCCCGGCTCTGCCCCCGTGACCCTCGCGTCGTCCCCGCACACAATGAGGGAGACGCGGGGCTGCGGGCTCAGGCCCAAGTCGCCGCGCGCAGGGACCAGACAGGACCTCCGGGGTCCCGGCCGCCGGCCCGCGCCCCGCGCACCCTGCGGACTCCAGGGGGGACCGAGGGCCGCAGTCTCCGGAGTTGCAGCGAGGAGGAGGCCCGGGTCCGGCCGCCTCAGCCGCTACCGGCCGGTCCCAACCGACCCCTCCCCCGTCTCCCTCTCCAGTCCCAGGACGCCCAGCCCCGCGCGCTCACCATTTCCCGGCTTCCGGGGTGCCCGCGGCCTGTGCGGGGGTCCCAGCGCCTCCCAAGGCCCTCGCGCGGCGCGGAGACCCGAGGCGGAGAGCGGCCCCCAACTCGCCGCGTCCTCGCCGTTGGCGCCGCGTCGTCCCCGCCCACCTGGGCAGCGGCGCCTCTGATTGGACAGTGCCGGCGGGCCCGCCCCCGTTGCCTGAGTGACAGCCGGGCGGGAACACGCGTCACAGAGCCCAAGTTGGCGTTCGCCGGGCGGGGTGTGGGTCTCCGCTCAGGGATGTTTTGCGTTGGAGGCAGAACTTGGTGGGCACCCAGGGTTGGACGGCTGGAGTCTGCCTGCGGCTCCTGGTCTGAATGCGGGGACGCGAGTGTGAGCAGGGCGTCGCGGACTCAGGGTCCCCACGCCAAGGGGCGCCCGGGCCGCGCCGGGCTGGATCCGCTGGGTCGGTGGTCCCTCCGTGGACTTGGGGCTTTGGGTGACAGACACGTCAGTGTGACGCCACCATAAGTAACAGAGACTCCAGGTCCGCTGGATTTTTTTTTTCTTTCATTATTGACCTGGATTTTTGTTTTATTTTATTTGAGAGACAAAGAGACCGAGAATCGCCCATGCGCTGATTGACATCCCAGATGCCCGCCCGGGCCCCAGGCTGCCTTAGGGTCAAAGAAGGCAGCCAGCCAGGGAGCCTCCTAAGGCTTGACCCCGGTGCGGTGCAACCCGTACCGTAGTGCCCGGCTCGACCTCGGATTCCAGCTGCCTAAGGATGCACACCCTGGGGGTCCCCGCCACCCTCGTGGGCGCTCCTGACCCTGGCCTGGCTGAGTCTGAGCTGTTGCAGACATTTGAGGAGTGAACCAGAGGGCAGAAGATATTTCTCTCTCTCTGTCTCTCTCTCCCCCCGCCCCCACTCTCCTCTCTCCCCTCTCCCTTCTCTCTGCCTATCAAATACAGTGAAAATACATAAATGTTAAGAATTTTTTTGGGGGGCCCAGTTTGTGGCATTGTGGGTAAAGGCGACACTGGCATCCCATATGGGGACTGGTTCAAGTCCCGGCTGTTCCACTTCCAATCCAGCTCCCTGCTAATGCGCCTGGGAAAGTAGCCGAAGATAGCCCACCTGCTTGGGCCCCTGCACACGCGTGGGAGACCTGGATGAAGCTCCTGGCTCCTGGCTTTCTGCCTGGCCCAGCCCTGCCCTTTGTGGCCATTTGGGGAGTGAACCAGTGGATGGAAGTGTGTGTGTGTGTGTGTCTTCTGTGTAACTCTGTCTTTCGAATAAATAAATTAATTCTTCTGGCCATATACCCAGAACTGGAATTGCTGAACCATATGGTAACCCTGTTATGAATTTCTTGTCATGCTGTTTTCCATACTGTCTGCAGCATTTTACATTCCAATGAACACTTCCTGATACTGTCTTTCAAAGCACAAAAAATTAATTTCATAAAGTACAGACTAAGTATAATGCAGTTTTTTGCTTTTGCTGCATATTTAAGAGTTCTTTGCCAAATCCAAGACATCAATATCTTTCCCTATTTTTTTTTTTTTTTTTGACAGGCAGAGTGGACAGTGAGAGAGAGAGATAGAGAGAAAGGTCTTCCTTTGCCGTTGGTTCACCCTCCAATGGCCGCCGCGGCCGGCGCGCTGCAGCCGGCGCACCGCGCTGATCCGATGGCAGGAGCCAGGAGCCAGGTGCTTATCCTGGTCTCCCATGGGGTGCAGGGCCCAAGCACCTGGGCCATCCTCCACTGCACTCCCTGGCCACAGCAGAGAGCTGGCCTGGAAGAGGGGCAACCGGGACAGAATCCGGCGCCCCAACCGGGACTAGAACCCGGTGTGCCGGCGCCGCTAGGCGGAGGATTAGCCTAGTGAGCCGCGGCGCCGGCTTTATTTATTTATTTTTTTTGCGAGTAATAGATCCCTCTTCAAAGTCTTTGATCTATTTTTGGTAAATTAATGTACATGGGTGATGTAAGGGCCCAACTCATTTTTTTTTTTTTTGGCCTGGTGGCTATTCAGCTCCCAGCATGGGGGACAGGGAGGGTCAGAGGGGCAGTCTTTTGTCCCAAGCTCATGAGGAGACAGAGACAGAGACAGCAACAGACAGGCAACTAGCAGTGTATGTGAAGGAACAGGGTGTGTGTGTCACTTCATGTTCAAGGCTGAATGCCTGAATGGCTCATTTAAAGGAAGCAAGGGGAAACCGAGAGCCCAGTCCACTGAGTGGGAGAGAGGTGTCTAAGTTCCTGTCACTGGTCACCAGCTCCGGCCATTTGGGTATGCCACTCTACTGCCTTAAAAAAATTTATTTATTTGGAAGGCAGAGTATCATAGAAGGAGACAGAGAGAGCCAGGAGGCAGGAACTCCATCTGGGTCTCCCACGTGGGTGCAGGGACCCAAGCACTTGGGCCATCATCTGCTGCCTTCCCAGTAGCATTAACAGGGAGCTGGATCAGAAGCATGGAGTAGCAAATGGCTGCTTAACCCGCTGTGCCATGATGCCAGCCCATAAGTCTACTTCTAATGTTTACATAACAACTTTTGCTGTGTCCTTCCCATTACACAGATCAATCACAAAGGGCACATATTATATATTATATAATTCCATTCTTATCAAAGTCCACAACAGGGGACAGCATGGTGGCACAGCCAGCCTGCAATGCCTGCATCCCATATGAGCACTGCTTCCATTCCTGGCAGCTCTACTTTTGATCCAGCTCCCCGCTAACGGACCTGGGTGGGAAAACAGCAGATGATGGCCCAAGTCCTTGACTCCTGTCACCCACGTGTCAGACCGGACAGATATCAGTCCTGGCCATTGTGGCCATTTAGGAAGTGAACCAGCAGATGAAGATCTCTCTCTCTCTCTCTCTCTCTCTCTCTCTCTCTCCCTCCCTCTCCCTCTCCCTCTCCCTCTCCCTCCCTTCTCTCTCTCTCTGTAACTCTGCCTTTCAAATAAATGTTGGGCCAGGTTGATGCCAGCAGCTTTGTCTCAGTCTCCCAAGAGAGTGGTAGGAGCCCAAGCACTTTGGCCATCTTCTGCTACTTTTCCCAGGCCATTAGCAGGCAGCTGGATTGGAAGTGGAGCAACCAGGACAGGAATTGGCATCTATATGGGATGCCAGCATCACAGGCAGCCCCATTACCTGCTACACCACAATGCAGGCCTAATAAATAAATCTTCAAAAGCAAACAAATAGGAGCCGGCACTGTGGGGCACTAGGTTAATCCTCCGTCTGCAGCACCAGCATCCCTTATGAGTGCCGGTTCTAGTCCCAGCTGCTCCGCTTCCAATCCAGCGCTCTGCTATGGCCTGGGAAAGCAGTACAAGATGGCCCAAGTGCACCTGTGTGGGAGACCCGGAAGAAGCTTCTGGCTCCTGGCTTTGGTCTGGCCCAGCCGCTGCCTTTGCAGCATTTTGGGAGTCAGTCAGTGGATGGAAGACCTCTCTCTCTGTCTCTCCTTCTCTCTGTCTGTAACTCTGCCTCTCAAATAAATAAGGAGCGGGTGCTGTGGGGTAGTGGGCAAAGCCACCGCCTGCAATGCTGGCATCCCATATGGGCGCCAGTTCAAGTCCCGGCTGCTCCACTTCCAATCCAGCTCTCTGCTATGGTCTGGGAAAGCAGCAGATGGCCCAAGTCCATGGGCCCCTGCACCTGCAAGGGAGAACCAAAAGAATCTCCTGGCTCCTCGCTTCAGATCAGTGCAGCCCAGGCCATTGCAGCCAATTGGGGAGTAAACCAGCTGATGGAAGACCTCTCTCTCTCTCTCTGCCTCTCCTTCTCTCTGTGTGTAACTCTTTCAGATAAAAAAATATTAAAAAATAAAAAAAACTTTTTTTTAAAAAAAGCTAACAAACAAACAAGAAAGTCCACAACAGAGAAATCCATGGACCCGACAAATAGCTTAGTGGTTGCCTAGCAACTGAAGATGTAAAAACGGATGAGTGACAGGGGTTTCTTTTTAAGATGATAAAAATGTTATAAAATGGACTCTGCTGATGACTGTGTACCTGTGGATATTCTGAAAACTGGATTGTATGCTTTAAAGGGGTACCTTGTATATTGTAGATTGTAATGTGCATTTTATCTCACCACAACTGTTCCAATACATGACATATGAATTAGGGGTGTCAGTGTCAGTTGTTTAGCATATTAAGAGCTTCCAGGTACATACCAAATTTATGTAACCTTTTATTGACTGATTTTTCTTTGACAGAAAACCAGAGCCAGACAGAACACAAAATGAAGATAGATTTCATTCAATAAAGTATTGTAATAAGGCGAGAGAGACTCATATTCGGATCAGAACACGTGGATTTCATAGCCAAGGAGCAAGCTGGCAGGAAGGCAGGAGGTGTTGGTGAGTGGGAAGTTGTATCTGTGGAGATTGTGGCTGAAGGCAGGCCAGGAGTAAGGCATGAGGAGTTTAATCACATATAAGATATCAAGGGTGGGGGCCGGCGCTGTGTTGAAGAGCCAGATCTTCCATCCATTGGTTCACTGCCTAAATGGCCATAATGGCCTGGGACGGGCCAGGATGAAACCAGGAGCCTGGAGCTTCTTCCAGGTCTCCCATGTGGGTCCAGGGTCCCAAGCACTTGGCCCAATCTTCGGCTGCTTTCCCAGGCCCATTGGAAGGGAGCTGGATCGGAAGTCGAGTAGCCAGCTCTTGAACTGGCGCTCATGTGGGATGCACCTATGGCATCATAGGTGGAGGCTTAACCTGCTTCACCATGACGCTGGCCCCCATAGGAGCCAAGGACTTGGGCCATCATCTGCTGTTTTCCCACCCAGGTCCGTTAGCAGGGAGCTGGATCATGATTTCATGATCATCATGGTCCACAGCCTGCAGCTATGTTCAATATTATGCAACTATGTTCATGTATGTTCAGGCTCTTAAGCAGTGAACCCCTTGGTGGTTACAGTGGGCATGGAAGGGCGTGGGGTTTGGGGGCCACACAGGGCTGGGGTGCCCCAGCTGGCAGTCCTCAGGCCCTCACTACACCCTACATCAAGCACACCATAATGGCAGCTGCCCCACCTCCCCTCTCTTCTCTTTCTTTCTCTTTTCCAAATGCCGACTCTTTAAATTTTTATTTTATTATTTGAAAGGCAGAGAGAGAGAAAAAGATAGATGGAGATCTCTATCTGCTGGTTCACTCCCATAATGCCAACAGCAAGGCCTGGGCTAGGTCACCTGCATGTGGGTGGTAAAGACCCAAATACTTGATCCATTATCTGCTTTCTTATCAGGGTACACATTAGCAGGGAGCTGAATCAGAAATGGAGGCAGGACTTGGCCCCAGGCACTCTGATATGGAAAGTGGGTGGCAGCTTAACCTGCTTTGCCACGAGGCTCATGTGCCCCCAAAATGTTTTTAAATGTAGGACTAATCAAAATGAGACAAACATGGCTCTTTTTTTTTGTTCTTATAGAACAAAACACTAAGAAGATGCTAAATTATCAAGATACAGAAACACAAATCAATGGAATAAAATAGAGAACCCAGAACTAAATCCATGTATTTACAGTCAACAGATTTTTGTCAAACATAGCAAGAATATATTGAAGAAAGAGTGTCTGACATTGTGGTACAGCAGGTTAAACCACTGCCTATGATGTTGGCATCCCAGGAGTGCCGGCTTGTGGTTTGTGTCCTGGTTTGTCCACTTCTGCTCCAGCTCTATGCTAATGTGCTTGGGAAGGCAGAAGATGGCCCAAGTACTTGGGCCTCTGCCACCTACGTTGGACACCTGGCTGGCTTTTGTGGCTTCTGGCTTCTGCTTGGCCTGGCTCTGACTGTAGCAGCCATCTGGGGAGTAAACCAGT